CACTACCGTAAAAATACAGTGCTATTCAATGATCTGTCGTAACTGAATACGGATATAAGAATTAAACAATTGTCCATTGATTTACTAGAAAATTTTTCGTTCAACGTTTTTAAATTAATCATGAAGCAATTCAAACAACTGAAAAAATTATCGATGAAAATGTTTCTTCACTGGTGCATGAGTATCATTCGAAGTCCTTTGAATGACTACGAATGGGAACAACTGATTTCAACCTATTGTCTAAATTTAGATACATTTTATTTATGCGTTCATTTGAATGAAGCCGATTGGCATAAACAAATATTACAATCATTTGAAACTGATTTCTGGGTAAATCATCATTGGTATGCATATGAAAATAATTCTACTGTAAAGATATATCTCTATCAATTGAGAATCATCTACTATATTTCTCAACTATACAGTTTTAATTTTACTGAAAAGTTCAAGCTTTTGACTTTAAAGTTCACTACAAAAATTCGTATTTCTAACGGATAAGATTTGTTTACAGGGTATGTTTAATTCTTGTAGGTTTGTTGTTTTTGAATGTAACATGCTTTACACGGTAGCTTAATATTTGATTATTGAACCTATATTAATAGAAGACAACAGGTGTTGATTCATTTGTTTGTATAGAGCACAAATTCATTGAAACATACCGTAGCTATGTGGAAAGTACTCTGGATCCTTCATAATCTATAAAAAGTTCTATTTTTCGTCGGAGAAAACATTCATAGTAATTTTTTCGTATAAATACTAGATGGTTGATCAATCTTGTAACCATTTTTTGGCACCATTCTAAGTTTTTTCTTTTGAAGTATTTTTTTAACCATTTTATAGAGGAGGAAAAACCTACACAACATATGTCAAATGCAGTCTGGGATCTCTTAAAATGACTGAATGGCAGCTAATACACTGCAAAACGTTAACACGATTTTACTCAAAAAACAAGTAATCCATGATCAGCATTTGATAAATAACTCTGAATCAGGTCATTAAAATATAATATGTAAACAGGTAATTTTGTTCAACGTTTGATTCTCTATCTTTTGATATATTACAGTAAGCCTTTCATCAATTTGTTGTTATGTTAAAAAGGCTCGGCTTTATACGGATGATTTTTGATGATATTCTCCAAATATCCTCGTGAGTTCTCCCCAAGTCTAATGAGATTAACTTTTCATCAGCTGATCGAAATACACTAAAAATTTGGATTTAGAGGTTTCAGCTGATGCTGAACAAGATAAGAACATCAAATGAAAAATTTAAATTTAAATCTTGACGAGTGTTCCGATTTCTTAATGAGCTCATGGATGCTCTTTCTCTTAATCATCTTTGTTGTGTTTCATACTGTGGTAATATCACAACGTAATCCGATTACTAATACAACGAAAGTTGAGGATGTTGAATTCGATATCTCAATCAAAAATAGTGATCATTCTATTGTATCAGATCTAAAGTAATATATCCGGACATACAGATACTTGTTAAAAAGAAGGAAGTTTACAGAAACGCTTCTGTTGAACTCTGTGAAAGAAATACGATAAAAATCAAATGAGGATACCAATGCATCGCAAAGAAGACGTGTTGATTGTTTGAATATAGAGTTCTGATTTTTTATCGTTATTGTCTTTGATCGAACAACCTGCAAAACAACAATTGATCACAATTTATCGACAATTTGATACTAGTATTGATGAGCTGGTAGCTTTCGTTCTGCATATGATGAAGTAACTACGCTATCAAGGCTCTTCTATCTTGAACTTTCGTCGGGATCATTATTTTAATCAACTATACTATTGAGCAAGATCAATCTTTTAAATAGTTCTACTCGTGTCGCTAAATGATGAGTTATTTGTCAATTATTAGAATGTTGCCCCATGGATCATTTACTTTCAGTTATTATTGACAAAAATGAGTAAAGGATATCATAGGGCAGAGCAAGCATTAAGAAAAACATATAAATAGGTTTGAATATGTAGAAATGAAAGTTCCATTCGTCGGATGTTTTCGTTAAATCAAATTGAAATCGATTGCTGCTTCGTTCCATCGAAATGTTCCACTTTGTTTCATAGATAGAAAACTTCCTTGATTTTTGTTAATAGATGATGAATAAACTCCAATATGATCCACTAAATCCGGCACAAGATGACACTGTTGAAAATTTGTATATTTTTGTTCCAAAAATTCAATTAATAACAAATCAATAGGTATTGGCATATTCAAAAGTAAACCTTGTTGTAATCGTTTACGAAGGAACTGTTCAAGTATTGGTATTATCCACCGAGGATATAATTGCGCAAGAGTACCGGGAACAGACGATTCTATCGGATGAACGCCAGCTCTTAGACCAACAAGAAATTGAAAATTTTGACGATTAGTTGATATCAAGATTAGAAGAACGAATCCAAACCAAATTAGCCAAAATGTTAGTAAAATAATTATTGAATATAGTGAAATATTCCCAAATCTAAAGCAATAAAAAATACTCTTCTACTGGATAAAGAAGATAGCAGCATACGACACATAAACTATCTGTTCTTCAGAAAGCGAAAGAATCCTAGAAAGAAGAACTGCAGCACACAAAAAATCGCTCAAAATGTATTTTTCAGGATTTAAATCGATTAGATAATCTATTTGTGTTAGAAATGAGGAAAATTTTTCTTATACGAAACACCTTAGAATGATTAAATTTATTTCAATTATTATACCTTTTCTTCTTCCACTTATTAAAGAAAACGATTTATGTTATTGAAAAATACAGAAATCTTATTCAATCAGTTTTTCTCTTGATGACAGAAGTAATAGTATGCTTACATTAAAACCAATTTTTGGAGCTCACCTTTCATATGTTTCTATGATGCACTGCCTTGATCTATAACGTTTTCGGTTGTCAATAGCGAACCAAGTCAATATAACAAATGCTGAAATGCAGGCAGATAAGAGAAGTAGAAGTGGTATATCTTTTTTTTCCCATCCATCCCAAAAATCTGATTTAAATAACCTAATCCAACTACAATTACGTTTGTTGTTTAAAGCTGATCGTATTTTCGTGAAAAACTCCTTTGTAAATATTAAATCATCCTCCAAAATTAAAATGTAACTTGAATTCGTTGTGTGACAAAGAGACAGAGCAGATACGTAGTCTATGGATTCTGTCCATAGCCATTTCTGATGTGAATTCTGAAACTGAGTTCTTTTTAAATAAAGTTCTGCTGTAAGCTCAGAAGCATCGATCACTTTGAGAAATGGAATCTGTGCTTGAGACAACTGTTGGGCATATTTGTGTAGATAAGACGGACGAGCGGTATTATAAACTAGAATTTCCATAGTCGATTTGTCTGCAGGTGTCATTGCTGTAACAAGTGACGAGAGAGTATAATGTAATAATGGATGTGTGCCACGTGGTGAACTGATTAATACCGTACAAATATCTGACGTTGGACTGTGGCTATAATTACGTGTTTTCAATAATTGATTCCAATATAATTCTGCCGATCTGAGTTGTTGATTCATTTTTAAATATAATTGAGTTTCGTTTGTTTTATATCGATAATACCATGTGTAGCGATAATTGCTCAAGTGTCCACAGGCGAACACAATCCATATGCTTATAGCAACAAATAGACAGATTGATAAACGCTTTATTCGAAGTATTGCTACAGTCATACATGCACAGTGGCTTTTATTTCTTCTACTAAAAAGTGAAGGAAAAACAAAAGATGTGTAAAATAAGCAAAAATAGCTTCGTTTAGTAATGTATTACCGAAAAAAATAATATTACAAGATGTCTCAAAAATCACTTTCACGTACCTTTCGTGTACTTGAAATTGACTCTTTAATTAAACATTTTCCAAGTGAATTAATCAAAGATTTACCTATTTATGCACAAAGTATCGTTGATGTTAAAGGATAGAAAGGAGTATATGTAACTATACAATACTGATTTTTACTGCCTTTGACTTTCAATGATTAATATTATTCAGAAAAAGAATGATATGCTTCGTTCTAGAATCGAATCCACGATACGATTATCACTTATTCGGATGGGTGTTCTAACAGTGAGCTATCGAAGCACGGTTAACACATCATTCATTTTGTAAATGATATTAAATCATCGAAATTTTTAACGTCGAAACGATGTGTATAACGCACCTGGATACAGCGAAGCTATTGTTGACGAAGTAAAGATGATGGTGACTTTTATTATCCTCTTATCAGACGGTGAATATAACTGTCATAAAATACAAAGAAGTATATGTAACTATACAACGTTGATTTTTTTACTACCTTTGACTTTTCGATGATTTAATATCATTCACAAAATGAATGATGTGCTAGTCCTGCTTCGATAGCTCAATAATTAGAGCACTGGTCCAGATAACTAGCGATCATATCATCGGTTCGACTTCTGAGCGAACCATGTCATTTTTTTTTCTGAATTATATTAATCATCGAAAGTCAAAGAAAGTAAAAATCAGTATTGTAAAGTGTCATTGATGATATGACAAATGAGAACCTATCCACTTACTTGCTTCACCGCTATAATAGTGTTTATCCTTCAGTTGTGTGGATGTGGGTGTGGGTGTGGGTTTATGAATAGAAAATGACACACTTCCACATTCCACACCCACCTCCCACCCTAAAACGAGACTCTGTCTATCTATATAGATTTTTCATAATTAAAATAATTTTTTTCTATGCAAAAATAGGTTAAAGCGCCTTTCAGTATTTCGTATTTTCCTAACGAAGAGGGTTGTGCTAGAACAAAAAAAAACATCAATCGATAGAGAATTTCACACTCTATCAGTTTATAAAAAAGGATTTTTTTTTTCAGAGTTGATCTTCATCTCCAAAACCTCATTTTAATGATAATAGTCAGCATTTTTCTCTCGTCAAAAGAGTGAGAAAGACAAGCCAGTTGTGTTTCTCAAAATTTTATTTCAATAAGATGGCTGTGATAAATCAGTAATATTCGAACTTCAAATAGAAAATTGTGTTCAGTTTTGAATGCTCTTTTCAATGGTGTATAAAACATTATGATAAGTGGGGGTTTGAAGGAGTAATTTCGTTTTATTCGTTTTTGCTGACTATTCTGACTAAAATGAAGTTTCGGAGATGAAGATCAACTCTGGAAAAAAATCCTTTTGTTATAAACTGATAGAGCGTGAAATTCTCTATCGATTGATAAATTTTTGTTTTGTTCTGGCACAAACCTCTTCGTTGAAAAAAATGCAAAATACGGAAAGTCACTTAAACCTATTTTTGCATAGAAAAAAATTATTTTAATTATGAAAAATCTATATAGATAGACAGAATCTCGTTTTACAATATATCATGTAGCTGGCCTCTCGTAGTATCTATATCACCATTTGAATCATATCCATACCTCTTAATATGAAAAAGAAATTGTAAAAAGAAGTTTAAAAAAATCTACAAAACCAATTTCTGTTAAACTTTTGTCCCAGACTATATATTATTTTGAAATTTGAACTTTGATGTAATAAGAACAGGAAGGATTTTAAAAACAGTTATACTGAATTTTCGCTAGATGCAATATACATCGTAAAAAAATATTAACATACTGATTATGTGATAGAACAGTTCTTTTCTTCAAATGTTGTAAAGTGCTTATAAAATTTTGGTCAATATTTACATGAAATGAAGGAAAGACGCAAAATGACTTTTTTTTCTTAATCTACATTGAAAAAAGCAACATATGTTCTGTTTCACACATGTATATCTTATCTTTATAAACTTTTTTAGTTATTAAAGCGTACCATCCGGACTTTCAAACATTTAATAGAGCAATCCAAACTACAACTATATTACAAGAGAGTTTTGCACTCAATTCAGATCAATGTAATAACAAGCTCGAAGGTTGACGGATACACGGAATAAAAATACAAGTCTTCAATTAGTAAATTATCTAACATTTTTTCAATAAGACATTATAGCTGCTTATTCGAAAAATATTTCATGTTTTTATAGAATATCGTCCGCCCCAGACTTAAAGATATTCGGCTGAAAACGGAGCTAATCGAGATCGCACGCAGCTAGTAATGTACGGTTTTCGCCAGTTGATAGAGGAGAGCCGAGCCATAAGTTCATATGAAATCCGAGGATTAGACAATTGATTTAGAGGTGTTAGCCAATCAATTTGATCGGCGGCGACGACAAAATTTTTCCTATGTTATTTCACAGGGTCTTTCGCAGATCCCTACCATTACGACAAACATTAGACGTTCTGTTCTCACAGAATTATAACGCTGTTTTCTTCTTAGCACACTCATGTCTTTTTATGCAAAAATTTTTTCACTAGATGTAACTTTATTTTCATTAATGCAAAAAATTCCCATTGTCCCATCATAAAATAACTTCGAACCGCACAATAAGAACTCATGATATAAGCCAAAATGGTAATAATGTGACTATCCATCTAAAATACAAATTAAACTCCAACATGATAACTTAGGGCTGACATTTTATCCGATCAAGTAACATTAAATACTTGACTTTATCGGATAAAGTAACATTACATACTTTACTTTATCCGATAAAGTAAAGTCAAGCAGAGTAAAAAAAAAAGAATTAAGTCGTATGTTTTAAATTTTTTGACGATTTCTTAGTTCAGAATCATGTATAAATAATATTAGAACATATCAAAGTTTATTCAATATCGTTTCGTCTTAAAATTAGTGTGAAAAAAAATAAGTAAAGCCGAAAAATGTCAGTTTTTTATGAATACATGAAAAATATTGTTTGGTTAACTTTATCTTACTTTATTTTTCACATTCAAACTATTATATTTCACTTTACTCTACTTTTTCAAAGTAAAATAAAGATAATGTGCCATCCCTATGGTAGTTCGAATTAGATCATAAGTGAAACTAACATTGAAATTAGAATTTGAATCCAAATTCAAATCAATAATTTTCTGAGAGTGAAGAAAAAGAGCAAGATTCGTTTTTATTTATTATTCAAATTCAAATTCAAACTAAATGTTTTTCTTTTTTCTACACTGGTAGGAGAGTATCGATAGGAATTCGAATTTGAATCGCAATGTTAATTACATTTACATTCGAACTTAAACTAGACAGTTAGTCGAAACTGCATACTGAATAAGTTAAAAATCGCGAAACGGAGAAAATAATAGCGATGAATCTATTGTGCATGAAGGAATAGGGCAAATGAAAACCTAAGAAATATGGTAGCGTCACAAAATCACAAGGAGACATATTTGCTTATCAGCTCAGTTTTCAGACCATATGTTATCCAAGAAAAAGCACACTAATTCCTGTTTTTTAAAAGTTCTGTTGGTTTCAGCAATCTCTAATTGTCACATAGATCAAACTTGAGATATTGCTGATTATTGTCGACGAGTGATAATTTAGAAAAAGAGGAAGCTTGAACTGTGACCTTTTAATCGAGCGGCGGCGAAAAATCGGTGGCTAACACCTCTAAATTGATTATAATGGTTAGCTTATAAAATCTCTGAAAGAAAAGACCCATTTCCTAGTGCAATCTTAATGAATCAAACTGAACTTTTCAGCGTATATTACTTGGTCTCAAACAAGACTCTCAAGCGCCCAATATATGAGCCCATAGACTCAAATTTTCGGTGAATAGATATCATAGTGTAAACTTCATTTCTATGCAATACAGCCACAGTTCGATCATATAACTAAGCACACGCAGTGGAAATTCCATGAAGAAATGGTGTTTCCTCCCCCACAGAAATAGCCTTTGATATCATGAAAAATGTTTCATTTGTGAAAAACACACTTCTTTGCTCAATTTTTTTAACAAAAAAAGATGCAAAAACTAAAAAACGCTTGATACCGGCGGGTGTGGATGTGAGTGTGTTTCTTTCCTTTTCACACCAACACCCGCACTCTCAGAACTATTTCTAAACTTTCAAAACCTTCAAAATGTCTTCTGACATACTCAAAACCTGTTTGGTTTTCAGAAAAACCCTTTTAATTAAAATTTATGGAAAAAAGTTGAACACAACAGAAGACCCCCTTGAAAACTTTGTACACTTGGACCATGGGCGGCGGAGCGGTCTTAGTCTAGGGTAGGCTCAACTTTTAAGCCAAGCCGGCACCGAGAGTCAATTAAAAGACTTTTTTTTTCGTTTATAATGGTAAGCGCTACAGATTCTCTTGCTAGGTTTAAATTCCGTAGAATTTGATAACTAAAGGATGGTTCGAAAGTTTCGACCCCTCTCTATAAATCGATAATATCTACAACAAACTTATACAAAGTTATTGATCAAATTGTGTTATTTTGTAGAGGAAGATGAGAGTTATCATTTGAAAAAAAGATTTCGAAATACATAAATCTATTATAATGTTATGATCATTTTAGCAGCTTTGAGCTGGCATCCCACTCCACCTCTTTTTCCTCCTTTTCTTTTGTTCTTTTAAAATTCCTCTTTTTAGCCTCTTTTTTCGAAAAAATCCACTTTTTCTTCTTTTCTCACGAAGAAGCAGGTCGTTGACAAAAATATTCAT